TCTGCTAAAATTATTTTAGAATTTTTATTTAAGAAAAATTAAACCAAATTATAAGTACTATATATCCGTTGCAAATTTTTTAAATATCTCAATTACATCGAGAGATATTTTAACTTTTATCCCATGCCATTTTCATGCAAATCAACTAAAGTGATGCGTTTCTTAAAGTTTTTAGAATTGCTTCGAATTCGAGAGCAGAGTAGTGCAGTGGAAGCGTGCTGGGCCCGTAACCCAGCGGTCCTTGGATTGAAACCACGCTCTGCTAAAATTATTTTAGAATTTTTATTTAAGATAAATTCAACCAAATTATAATTACTATATATCCGTTTCAAATTTTTATGTAACTCAGTTATATATATATATTGAAAAATATTTTAACTTTTATTCCAGGCCATTTTCGTGCAAATCGTCTAAAGTGATGCGTTTCTTAAGGTTTTTAGATTTGCTTTGAATTCGAGAGCAGAGCGGCGCAGTGGAATCGTGCTGGGCCCATAACCCAGAGGTCCGTTGGTCAAAACCACGCTCTGCTTTAATTATTTTAGAATTTTTATTTAAGAAAAATTAAACCAAATTTTAAGTACTATATATCCTTTGAAAATTTTTTAAATAACTCAATTACACATCGTGAGATTTTTTAACTTTTATTCCAGGCCATTTTTGTGTAAATTGTCTGAAATTAAAACGTTTTTAAAAGTTTTTAGATTTGCCCTTAGGTCTGGAGCAACGTGGCCCAGTGGCAGCGTGCTCGGACTATAACCTAGAGGTCCTTGGATAAAAACCACGCTTTGCTATAATTATTTTAGAATTTTTATTTAAGAAAAATTAAACCAAATTATAAGTACTATATATCCGTTGAAAATTTTTTAAATAACTCAATTACATCGTGAGATTTTTTTATCTTTTATTCCAGGCTATTTTCGTGCAAATTGTCTGAAATTAAAACGTTTTTAAAAGTTTTTATATTTGCTCTTAGGTAGGGAGAAACGTGGCCCAGTGGCAGCGTGCTGGGACCATAACCTAGAGGTCCGTGGATCGAAACTACGCTTTTCTGTAATTTTATTTAAAAAACAATAAACCAAATTGTAAGTACTATATATCCGTTGCAAAATTTTTAAATAACTCAATTACATCGAGAGATTTTTTAACTTTTATTCCAGGCCATTTTCATTCAAATCGCCTGAAAGTGATGCGTTTTTAAAAGTTTTTAAAATTGCGCTGGAGTCGAGAGCAGAGTGGCGAGGTGGACGCATACTGGACTAATAGCCCAAAGGTCCGTGGATCGAAACTACGGTCTGCTATAATTATTTTAGAATTT